CCCAAAAAACCCCCAGTAACTAGCTGTGCGTTATTCATACTTACACCCCATTTTGTTAACTACAATGTTTTATAAATCGTTTGCTTTTTCAGTTTACACTTGGTCATTCTCAGATTAGTTCATTAAGAGTGACATTTATGACAAACATCTTACCTTTTGTACTTAATTTCACACTTCATGCTAGCTTCTTCCCTTTTCTAAAAGTGACACGTAGAAGATTTAATTTAAAAAAATTATATTGGTGTAAAAAATGGTAGTTTGGGAACCTTAGGCCTCCTACTGACATCAGTGGGAAGTCTCAACAGGACTAGGGTTGAGGCTGTTTCTTTGGAATATAATCTTGACGGCAGGGGTGTCATCATTCTGTTACCACATAAAACTCTCTCTTCTCCCTGATGCACATATTGTAATACACAGCAAAAGGTATACTCGGCCATTCATTTTGGACCCCTGCACCGCTGTTCACTAAATTTAGTTCAGGCTTCTGCATAAACTCCTTGGGATTTTTGCATGAAAACATTTAAGAATTAAAAGGAAAAAATGTGATGGAATTTATTGTTGATTGATACCCTTAACCCTTTTTGAAAAAGGCTGAGTATCAATCAATGTAGCAAGCAACAGAAACATACTGCCAATTCACAAATGATGTAGTTAGCTGACAGGAAAATACCAACCAGATTAACTATGAGAAAACGCTCGGTTCATAGGGCCAAAAAGGTCAACAGTTTTTTCCCTTGTAATTCCGCTGCATTTAGATTCAAGTGTCAAGGAAGCCCTGATTGGGGCATTAAACTTATACTTAAAAAAAAAAATCTATGAAAACTGCAGTTTTGAAAAATGAACTCTGAGTTACTATTTACTCAAATTAACACACAACCGATGTAGTTGGAAAAAGAAAAGATTTTTGGATATATATTTTATTTGACAGTGTTTTAGAATATCATACAGTAAACAAGATTTCTGTAAAAGTTAATTTACCCATACTGGTGCGTTTCATAAAAATAGTTGCTCACTTACAGCCTTTCTGTGACTATTAATACATGGAATTATATTTATAGAGATACAGCTGTACAGGGTAAATTCACAGCTAACACTACACAGAAATATTATTTGGGATGGGATTTAGATGATGTGCTGTCTTCACAGGTTATGGATTACAGCCGCATAAAGCAATCACTGCACAAGTAGTAGCTGTGAACTGTGCAAATTAGAGTTTATGCAAGCGTAATCTCAATTTTTTAATCCTTTTGTAACACATGGAAAATAAAGGTCAGAGGATACAGTACTGGGACGTGCAGCTACACTACAGAAGCATTGTCCAAAACCAGATTCAATAAATTAATGGCAAACTATACTGGATCTAGTCCAGGGGAGAAAGACTAATTGAGATTAAACCAAATGTGTTATAAACTGCTACATGTGTTTGTGCTTTTGTTTATGATGAATGGGTTCCATTTTTGGAAATTGCTTTTACAAGCTGCAAGACTCTTCACTTGAGGCTTTCAACCATATTTTCCTCGTGTCAAACAACTAAACTACTCCTATGCCTGATGAAAATTAAATGGCTAGTACTCAGAGTATAGCCATTATGAAGAGAGGGAAAAGAGTCAACACAGGGAGGCTATTATGTGTCACCTTGTGTGATGGACCTGATCTCCGTTTTCCTTATTTGAGTACAAGTGCAGCAAGGTGAGGCTTATTCGCATTTGAGCTCCTGTACCAGCAGAATATGGGCAGGATGAGCCTCATTCCTTCAGGACAGATTAAAGAGAAATTGCCCTCAGGGACATTTGCCTTTTAATTGTGTGGCTACAAATAAGTGCCAACATGTGAATGAAAAAGGGGCTACGTAATAAACCTGACAAGCTCAGGGGGCTACATGGCAGGCCCAAAAAGCGCAGTGACAAGTGCAGTGAACAAAGTAACCACATAGGATGGTCTGGTCATAAATTCCTGTTTCTCCTTTGATTCTAAATGAATAAAATGATCTGCAAAACTGCCATTTTCCAGAGCATTTTCTCAATCCATTGAGATGGCTTCCAGGCGTGTCCTCAAAAATTTGGCTCAAATAAATTCTTAAAAAATTCCTATAGGTTTAGAGGTACTTTCATTGACAAACACTTTTTTTCACACAAAAAGATTAAAATAGCAGGGTACAAAGACAAGCCTTAGAATTTTACTAGGGGATCGACCATAAATCAATGAAGATAAACAGAAACATTCCGAGATTGCTGAAGAAATACAAATTTGGTAAGGACTACCAGACAAAAAAAGCAAACCAAATGGAAATAAAAGGAGAAAGAATAAGGAAAGGAAGATAAGCAGAACGGAATGCCAAAGAGTTGTGTTCTTTAATGAAAATAAAATCATCATAATGATTTTTTCCTATCAGGGATTCATTATAACCTGAGAAATATAGGAGAAATATTTTGCCGCTGCTCTACCAAAGTGAAAATGAATGGAAAGAGGGTTTTAAAAATGACAATAAAATAAGTGAAATATAACGTTGCTGTCAAAGAAGCTACTATCTCTGCTAGCCTGAGACACTAGGAAAGCCTTTTCATAAAGGAACTGCAGCGTTGCCAATCTCGATTAAACAAATTGTGGTCCTTCAATTATAAAATTTATATTTTAGAAGAAAACCAATTAAGATCTATGAGCTAAACTGCAAAATTCTGACTTACAGCAAACTGTTCCCTAGAATACGATTTTCAAAACCTTTTTTTTTTCTACCACTGAAATGTACAGAAATATGACTTCATCACAGAAATGGCAGTAAACATGGCATCATACCAACGGATTCACTAGATTTCTAACTCCTGCAGTGCGCAGGGAACGCTGCTGCTAATACCAGTGATGGATGCCACGGGTAAGCCATGGAAACATGTCATGGGCGAACAGTTCTGAATGTTTCAAAGAAACCTTTTAACCCCTGTCTAGATATGTCAGGAACAATTTATTTACAACTCTTTAGATCAATTAAAAGATATAATCTTGTCTCAGTTTCAGCTTGCTCCGTGCAGTTTGATTTTTAAGGCGATATTCCAGTTCGTGATTGCTCTTAACGTGTCCAGTTTCTTGATACAAAGTTTGGATGACATCCAGATCCTTCATGCAGTGGGGGAAATTTTTTTTTTTGAACTAAAGCTACACTGCACTGTCTCTCCGTGATGTTCTTCACGTAATTTTGGTTCTTCCATAGCTGCCAAAGCCCCCACAGTGGAACCGGGGGCTTTAGGATCAGTTTAGGTCTGCGCGTGGACGCTGGACCGCCCAAGCTCGTGGGGCGNCTAGATTAGTCCAAGTTCAAACCCCACAGGGGCCTTTGGTATCCTTCCAGCAAACATTTATGGTGAGGAGGCCAAATTCATCCAAGTAACCCAGACCAGCTGGACCCAGTGTACTAGAATTCAGCCAAGGATACTGCTGAAAAGCCTCTCCTGGGTGTTGAGCAGGGAAGCTGCTCTGGCCCTGACCTTACCTGCCTGAAATAAGAGGCAAAGCCAAGTTCCACTTAAGCCTCACTGGCTTTGGGACGAGGCTGGGTCTGAGCGTGAGCAGGAGAGTCAGGGGAAATAGTTATTGGGCTTATTTCAGATAAAGCACCTGGGCGAGTTGCAGAAGGTAGCCTTCATCCCAAGCAGTGCTCAAATAACAACATCAAACCCTCTCAGAATTTTGTAGAAAAAGCAGCATACCTGGGAAAAATTGCAAACTGTGCACTCTGACTAGTCAGGGCCACTTATTGTGTTGAAAGCCATTCCTATTTGAGGGAAACTATATTGGATTTAGAGATGGGGGCAATTAAAAATAAAATTACCCCACCTTCAGCAAGTATTCACTGAGCAGCTTTGTATGCTAGGCACGGTGAGGGTTAATTGTGGAAACACAAGATGGATCTGCAATCTACACCTTGATGATGGAGAAAAGAGTAGAGAACCTATAAAATAAGAGCTGTGCATCTGTGTACTGATTAGATACACCTGCCCAGGAAAGTTCTTTGCATTGTTGCAAAAGCATTAGCAAGGCCTCCTGAGCCCTCCCGGAAGCTGGCATCTGCCTGAGACAGAAGTTTGGGGAGGCTGAGCTCAGAGTGAGCAGTGGTGGGTGAGGGGTGCCTCTCCAGCAGGAGATGGAGAGGAAGGGAGAGAGGGGCCGAAGGTGAAGGGAGAGGCAGGAAATAGGGAGCGTAATGGTCTCCACTGCAGGCCAGAATGTTGTACAGGAAACCCACATCTCATCAGGTCATTCTGCCCAGTGAAAGCCCATCAGTGACCTCCTGCTGCCTTTTGAATGGAGGCCCCAGTTCTGGCCAAGGCCTAAGAGACGCTGTGAGATCTGGACCCCGTGGCTCTCCAGCCTCCTGCTGGCAAGTTCTCATCATCCTCTGTCCTCCAGGCAATGGGTGTCCATTGAGCCACCAGCTGGGTCCACGTGCCCTTCCTTCTAGGGTGGCCAAACCATCCCAGTTTGCCCCGGACTGAGGAGTTTGCTGGGACAGTGACTCACAGCTTTAAAACCAGGATGGAGTCCTTGGTCACCTTGTTCCTAAGGCCCGGCTCCCCTATCTGACACCTGCCCATGTTCAGCTCTCAGCCCAGCAGCCATTTCCTTAGGAGAAGCTTCCTAGCAGCCATTTCCTTAGGAGAAGCTTCCTGTCTGCGTTCCCCTGCCCCATCAGGCCCGGGGCTAGACCCACCTCTGGCCCCTTCATTTCTTTGTAGCTCTTATTACAACTGTAATTACGTAACTGGTTGTGGTGTTGCTTTCTGATGGGGAGAAGACGAAACCCTGTGGGTTGGGTGGCTCACACCCTGTCTAGTTCACAGTTACAGTCTCAGTGCTCTGCACGGTGCCTGGCATATGGCTAACACTTAACGAATATTTGTTGAATGAACTGCAAATGTTTATATACCTCTCAATTAACAACAGCAGCAATAAGAATATTTATGTATCAAATATTTGCTCAGTTCCAGACTCAGGAGTCCCTATCTCTCAGCCTGCATGCCTGATTTAAAATTGAGTAAGCACTCCGTATATTTGTATGTACTTTTTGGGTTTATAAGTTATTTTTTCACAATAAAAAAATTTAATTGGAATTCCTGGGTATATGTCTGTATATCTGTGAGTTCATGTGTATGTGTGTGTGTGAATATATGTGAACACACACACACACACACACACACATATATATAAATATATAAATCTTTTCTTTTCAGCCTTTATCTCATAGCTGCTCATTTGCTCACATCAATTTACTTTGATGCACAACTAAGATCATCTCAGAGTTGGAAACCCAGATCAAGAAGCAAGAATTCAGGTGTTCCCAGTATAATGAGATAACACAGAAGTAATTGGAAGGTATGTCATTGAATCTTCTGACCTCTCCTAATCTTTAAAATTTGAAAAGGGTGGTATACAGTGATATACGTTTTGAAGTATTCCATTTATGAATTTCTCCATGTCCATTGCAGCTGACCCACTTGCAGCTCACTTTTATTATCTTGTTAAAGACTGGAAAAATTAATTGGCTCATGTGTTTCCTGATGGCACCTAGACTTTATAAAGATGATAAATCTTCCAGAATCCTTGCTTTTTGTAACAAAGCACACTTTGCACCCTACTCCTTCTGTGGATGTATTTATAATGCATAGGATATTTCTCCTCCCAAATGGTCTCATCTCAACCAATCACATCAGAATCTCTGGAGTGAGTCCCAGCAGGACTTTCGGGAGTTGATTCCAAAATCTTTATCCTAAGACTCAGTCTCTCACCTGAACTTCATTCTCTTTGCAGCATCTCCATTTTTAGTCTATGATTATTGGCTGGATGAATATTTTCATCTGGGCAACCTGAGAGCCCCTCATACTTTACCTGTCAAAAACCTTAATGATGTCCCTTGTAGATCTGGTCCTCCTCCCATTTCCAAATTGTCACTTAGGCTCGAAGCCTGTGATTGTCCCGGACTCTTTGCATCCCATAAGTCTGAGGTCTACTTGTTCGCCCTCCTTGAGAGCCCTCCCGTGTCTCTCCTCCATTCCAGTTGCTCAGGTCTCCCTATCTCTCACCTGGACTGATGCTCGTACTTGGCAGAGTGTCTCCCTCCTCCACTTCACCCTGGACAGGGCTGCCAGGACTTCCTTTCAGAACCAAGTGCTGGTTTTATCTTTTGTCTGCTCAGAAACCTTGAAGAACTCCACACTGCTCACTGATGGCATTGGTGATCTGCCTTGAACCCACCCTTTGCTTAATCCACCACAGCCCCCAGGACAGTCTTGGTCAAAATAAACAAAAATTTACTATTTCTCTAATATCCCTCCAAGTTTTCAAACTCTGACTTTGCTCATGCTGTTCTCTCCCTTATACCAAGGTGTAATAAAAAAATATGGTGAATTTTTAAATAAAAAAAATTATTACAGTACAAGACACACATTGTCATTAACCACCCTCAAAATACTCCCCCTCACTTCCAACACACTTATACTATCATTACTGCCACTTTCTGAAGCAGTTCTGGAAGTCCTCTTTCGTGAGTATCTTTAGTTGTGCTGTCATGGCTGCCTCGATGTCCTGAATCATTGTGACTTTGGGGAAGAGCCAGAAGTCGCACGGTGCCATATCTGGTGAATAAGGTGGACATACCATAATGTTTTTTTGTTTTGTTTTGTCGTTGATGTTGTTGCTGTTGTTGTTGTTTTTTAAGATTTTTATTGGGCAATTGGGGAAGGTAACAGTGTTGGGGAATTGGTGAAGGGGAACATTGTGTTTTTCCAGGACCCATCAGCTCCAAGTCAAGTTGTTGTCCTTCAGTCTTAGTTGTGGAGGGTGCAACTCAGCTCCAAGTCCCGTTGCTGCTTTCAATCTAGCTGTGGGGTGGGTTGGGGCGCAGCCCACCATCCCATGTGGGAGTCGAACTGGTAACCTTGTTGTTAGGAGCATGTACTCCCACCAGCAGAGCTATCCTGCCACCTGTTGGGAGCTCAGCCTCAGCTCAGCTCTGGCGCAGTGTCACTGGCCCATGTGGGAATCGAACCCGCAACCCTGTTGCTCAGAGCTCGTGCTGTAACCAACTGGGCCACCTGGCCAGCCCGTAATGTTTTTATTTGACAGAAATTGCCATACCAGAAGCGATGTGTGACATGGAGCCTTTTGTTGTGATCGAAAAATACGGTGAATGCTGCTGCTGAGTGCCATCCAACAGAAAGGCAGGGACCTTCAATATGGGAAGTGGCACATGGAACCTTAGTAACAGTGTATGACAAGTTTCAACTTGTTCAGTGCAATCAGTTGAACATGAGCTAAGGTTGAGAGGTGTGTTTTAAAGTGTGCCATAAATCATCCTCCATCATGACAATGTTCCATGTCACACATCACTTCTGGTACGGCAATTTCTGTCAAATAAAAATATTACAGTGTGTCTTC